CCTGCTGTGACTCATTATAGCATTCTGTCCCATCCATCTCCACTTACATTTAAAAATACTGCATTCCAGTATTAACATTTTACATCTCTCAGACTCCCAAACCATAGGATTTATCTGATTTTCTTTAAAGAAAACTTGTGCTTTGGAAGAAAGTTTATTAACTGTCTTGAATTTTTGAGAAGGATTATAATTATGCCACGAGAGATTTGAATTCCAGCCCTCCCCATTCCATTAATGTTGAAAGTTAATTTCTGGTAGTGATGAAAGCTGAGGATGGGCTCAGCGCATTAGTTAGCACACTAGTTTTCTTGTCAAACTGCTAACTTCTGACAATGATGGCAAGTGCTTGTATTAGAAAACAGAAAGCCATGCAGCAGACGGCGCACTGCTTTGAAAGCATATGGCATTATTTTTTTCCCTCGTTGAGCCACAGTGTAGAAGTACATGTCAAAACAACATCTATTTTAGAAAGAAAATGGTTAGATCCCATTGTTGATTTACACTCTCTTCACACTTTATGATGAAGTCAAAACTCATGGTAACAAGAGAAAAGAGCTGACTGCAAAGGCTGAATTCATTTAGTTTTAATCCCCAAAACAAATGATGAAAAGTGATGAGAAGTGAGAAAATGCAGACATATTCAGTGAGATTAAAACAGGAGAGAACAAAGTCCAATATTTACCAAATGTGCCTGGAAAAGCTACATCCATGGGCCCACTCAACTTTTCCTTTAAGGAAACACAGGTTTGTCCAATGGATGAGTCTATATAGCAAAGCAGCTTTTACATCTAATTTTCAAACTAACGCAGATGAGATACGGAGCAACTCTCAGGATTCCCATCTGCCAAGCACCACACCGATTTGCCTTTTGAGGGAACATTTCAGTGTATGATCATCCCAGTACTGCAGCACCAGGTCGTGAACAGGACTGCATGCCCACTGGTTTCCTCAAGGAATGGGGCGTAAGGACTAAGAAATGGTTGTGCCTTTTGAGGCAAAAATACTCACTTTGTGAGCAATTAGAGCAAAATGGGATGGAAGGCTTAATGAATGGGATTTGGGGTAAATAAGCTAAACACTCAGTGAAATTTATGTTCTGAACAGCACACATGCAAAGACAAACCAAAACAGGTACATTCCCAGAAACTTTTCTGTGCCACACTCTTTTTCTTTTCCTTGGCTTCTAACCCAGCAATTCATTTGGCCCTCCTCTGAAAATGTCTTGCAGTTTCTGCTTGAACCTATGAACCAGCTGCCCTTTGTTCCCAGGCAATCTCCAAGATGCTTCACTTGTGGCAGTATGAGAGTATTTTTCTCTTGGGATGGGATAACACATCAAAAATTCCATCACTTTCTTTCGGAGGGATTTGGATCAGACCATTACAGAGAGCCTGTGAAGCTCTCAAAGCAGTCTACAGGCAGTTCTGAAATCCAACAGGTGCCCATTGAGTTAAATAACACCATTCTCATTCTGCAGCTCAGACAAAAAAGAAGCAAAGGAAAAGTAATTCAGTGTCTCAAATAAGTTCATTCAGTGTCAGTGGAAAAGCTGCAGAAGGACCTCTACTTTTTTGGCAGTGGTGCCTATTACCACTGCATGGGATTTTGCAGTAACATAGGGGCCACAGAGGCACACCACCCTTGTCAGAAATCAAGTCTGAACTAGCTGTTGAATAAACAAAACCTTTGCCATAGAGGTGAATATCCTAAGGCCAGCTCCTGCCCTCAGGCGTGGTACTATTCCCACAGCATCCCTTCAGGGTTACCGCCCTAGGAGTCCTCCTGCTTGGCTTCATCCCAACTGTGTGCCTTTTCTAAGGTCAGAGATAGATATGTAAAAAATTAATGCAAGTTTTTTTCTTAGTGCAACTTCGGGTTTTTTTAGTGCAGCTTCTTCCTCCTTACCTTTATCTTTTTCTTGCTGGAATCCATGATCATTTTCCAATCTGATCCGTTGTTGCTGTAGCCAATTTTGAATTTTTTCATGAATACTTTGTTTTCTCGGTGCTTGCCTCCTTGGACAATTATGCCCCTCACTTTTTTTTCTTCGCCAAGGTCAATTTGAAGCCATTCGTTTGTATATGGATGAGTAGTTGGTGGCAGCGCCCAACCTGAACGGCTTGTTATGAGGCGAGCATTTTCCGGGATCCAGTTTCGATCGACTTGAGTAGATGCGGTAATCTGAGAGTCAGGAATGAGCCCAGACACCATACCCAGCATCCCGGAGCAAGGATAATCTACAGAGAAAAAACCCAAATAAATAGTTAATCTGAACAAGCACCAAAACAGAAACAGGACATCTCGGTCAGTTCAACTTTTGTAAGCAATTACTTATTTCTTTCTTATAGCCAAAATAATCTTTTGGGATTTGTATATAATTTTCATTTGTTCAAACTTGCACATCCTAGTTTTGGCAGGAAGTACCAAAATACCACAAGTATTTCTGGCTTGATGGGAACCAAAAGGATCAGAAAATCCTATTCTGTTCTTGTTTTCTATTCTTGCTAAGGCAGAGTGCAGGGTCACATCTGAATTTGTGAATATTTCTCTAGAGAAAACTTACAAAATCAGCCAAAACCTAGTTGCAGATTACTTAATTTTGGTAACATTGAAATTGGAAATCTTTTATACATTCTGTAAAATATAATTTATTGCTGTACTTGAGATTTTCCTATTGTATTTTTTTAGTCTTTCAGGATTTTTTAAATGACACAGAACCTAAATAGTTGCTTCTTTTATTGTCCCCGATAAATATAATTTGAAGTAGGAAAAACTGCTAACAAGGAATGAAGATTTCCAAGATAGAACGTAACAGCAGTTCTGCTGATTTTACCTTTACCTATGTATGTTTGTTCCTTGGGACACCTGCTGAGAACAACCTATGAATAGCAGGCATGAGAGAGAGGGACCAGAGGGTTAGGAAGGGAAAACAAGATGGGAATTTGCAAAACATCTGTGTATCTCAGGTATTTTGCATGGAGCTGTAAAATAATTGCAAGAAAAGTAATTAAACTTTTTTTTTTTTCCCACTTCTTAAAGCCAAACACCTAAGAGAGATTGCCAGAACAACCTTCAGATAACACTGAATGTTTGGGTTGTTGCATTTTATTTTCTTTACCTTTTTTTTTTTTTTACATTTCTACATTCAGACCACAGTGGAAAGTAACATTGAAATTGGAAATCTTTTATACATTCTGTAAAATATAATTTATTGCTGTACTTGAGATTTTCCTATTGTATTTTTTTAGTCTTTCAGGATTTTTTAAATGACACAGAACCTAAATAGTTGCTTCTTTTATTGTCCCCGATAAATATAATTTGAAGTAGGAAAAACTGCTAACAAGGAATGAAGATTTCCAAGATAGAACGTAACAGCAGTTCTGCTGATTTTACCTTTACCTATGTATGTTTGTTCCTTGGGACACCTGCTGAGAACAACCTATGAATAGCAGGCATGAGAGAGAGGGACCAGAGGGTTAGGAAGGGAAAACAAGATGGGAATTTGCAAAACATCTGTGTATCTCAGGTATTTTGCATGGAGCTGTAAAATAATTGCAAGAAAAGTAATTAAACTTTTTTTTTTTTCCCACTTCTTAAAGCCAAACACCTAAGAGAGATTGCCAGAACAACCTTCAGATAACACTGAATGTTTGGGTTGTTGCATTTTATTTTCTTTACCTTTTTTTTTTTTTTACATTTCTACATTCAGACCACAGTGGAAATAGTGAAGATGCATTTCACTTGTAAAAATAAAACCCACAGCATAGGCACAATAAGTTCCCTTGGTTTTAAAGTCCTTCCCAAGACCTACCTGTTATCTTGCAGCCATAAACTTCAAATCTCAGCGATACTCCATTTTCCCAAGACACAGGTCTGATCCGCACAAACCGTGTTAAAACTGGTTTGGCAAAAGGTCTGTAAACAACATCAGTGGGATTGCTATTCCCTTGAAACACCTTTGTGTGGAAAGAAAAAGTATATATTTGTTAGGCTTTCTCTTAAATGGTGTTTGTAATTCTGTGTTTTACAGATAGTTATGACACAAGGTTATTTGAGAGGGGGAAGATGAGACAAAAGACTTGTGTGGGGAGCTATTTCATCAAACTCCTAACACAATTTTTACAGACAGATAAGCTTTCCTTGGTAAGGAAAAAAGATGTCAGGTGTTCAATGAGACTAAAAAAATACTTGCCACCTTCAGAGTCCCATAACACACCATAACGCTGCAGAGCAGACCAGGGAAGCTCAGGATCTTGAGAGCAGGAGCTCACCTGGGTGCAACAAGGGTCTGTCCGCTCCTTGCCTATTTTGAGGTGCTCCTAATGCCCAGACCTATATGCAGGAATGACATAGGCTGGTCTTTGTCACCCAAGGACTGGAAGAATCCCTCAATGCCCCATTAGGGCAGTTTTATTCCTCGCACGTAGAATGATGCAAAAAGCTACAGAACCTCAGGCCCAGATTAAAGGTTTGGATTTCAACTAGACTATATAAAAATCCTATATGTAGTTTGGATAAAAACCTGTATTATTTTGCCATCCTTGGGCTTATGCGTTTTGCAGAGTGTATTGTGCAAACCTTGCTTTGTTAACGTTCTGGCTTTAAATCCTTTTTAACAAGTACTCAGACTTTCTTTCTCCTTGCATACTGAGATGGAAGTCTAGTTAAAATCTATATAGCAGGCTCTAAGATTTTCTCTGCGTCCCCTGAGGTTAACAGTCAAATTAGATGAACAATGAGACTTCCCCAAGAAGGGACAGGATTGTGCCGTGCTTTCATGTTGAGGATCCTGCAGACGCGCTCCTTCCTAGCAGAGCTGAAACCTTGCAATGTTCTAGTCTAAAGAAGGTGATTCAGTTTCCTGCTTCTTCCTCATTTTGAGAGGACCAGTTTCCTGTTGTTTTCCATGGATACAAACCCCTCTCCTTTTATGGGAGATTCTCCCATTCCTTACACACACTGTCTACTTTCCTGTTTGTTACTTGCCATAACTGCACTAATTTGGAGCGGAGGCCAGCAGCGCATAGCTGCCAACTCAGCAGGCTTGCTTATAGCTCAAGTAACTTAATATAGGAGTTTCATACCTAGCAAGAGATTTTAACTGGAGCTATGCTTCTTTTCAGCAGCTTTTTTTTCTCTGGGAGGACCTGCTGTAGTTTTCTCAAGGTCTGCATCTGACAGAGGGAATGAGTCTTTTCCCAAAAGCACACAGCCCCTCATATGTGGCCAGTGCAACGCTCGTGTGAGGCTTCCTTGAAGAGATCTGCGGCTGCCTGCTTTTGCTGTTCCTTCAGTAGCCCAGTCTCCTTAACTTTTCATTTGAATAAAAATACCAGAGGAAGACTGGTGTGCAGTTTTTTCTTGTCCTGATCAACAGCAAAATATTGCCATTTTAGAAATCTGACTCTTTTGTAAACGCTTTGAACAAATAACACGGGTTTAGGAAGTGTTCTCACTAATTAAGGACAACATGCGCAATAGAACCTCATGTAAAATACACTCTTGGAGAGTTTAAAAATTGAAGTTGGTAATGAAAATCAGGCATGGTCTGATTTTGAAAGAGGCATTTGTTCAGATTACAGGAACTAGAGCCAGGAAACCCTGTGTCTCATACCAGCCGCAGCGTTGGCTCCTCTTGTGACTTTGGGCAAGTTCAGTTATTGTGCCTCTATACATCGTTACACAGTGCCCACATTGTGGCATTTGACCTTCTACAGTCCTTCTCTGTAAAACCAGGATAATACCTGTCAAAGAGAAGCTTTCAGGATCCATTTTTTATTGTTTTTTCAAAGCACTTCAAAGAAGAAGAAGGTATGTGTTAAACACTGCTACCATTTTGATTAGATAGATGTAGTGGACTTGGCACAGCACTTTCAGGTGAATCAGGGACAAACCAGTAACCGAATATTTAGAGCTAGATACGGTTACACTGACAGAGTTTAATATTACACAGCTCTTCTGGGTCTTCACAGAAGGGTCACAAAAAAGCTCTTTTGAAGAGAGGCACCACAAAACCTTCCCAGTTGCATCAGCCCCTGGCAGCCTCTGGGGATGCTGCTCCCAGGCAGATCCTGAGCGAGGTGGGAAGGGAGGCACAGCCTCCCTGGGACTATTCATGTGAGAGCTGGAACAGAATTGACTTCTCAGTAATGAGCTTTATGCTCATGGTAGCGGATAATGATGATTTTTCTTATGAGTGTCTAAAGCTGTTTCATTGGGAGGTCACAGAGAGCAAATCTGCTGATAAATGGAAAGGTGATAAAAATCTATAAGGATGGAGAGATGTGCCTAATTATCTGTCTGCATGACCCCCATCACTGAGATGCTTGGAAGTCTAACAAACTACTAATGACTTGCTATAGCACTCCTTCAAGACAGCATGGCTATGCACAGGGAGCTGAGGCACTGACACTGCATATCCAGAGCTTCACCACAGATAAGGGACTTACATATTTTTTAAAAGGTTCCCCATAATGTTTTCTTCAAGGTGAAATAGATAATCTCTGGCGAACTGGGACATGGCAGCACACTCCAGGGAAAAGACCCAAACCACTCAAATTCTGGTGGGTACAACAGACGGGGCAGCACCTTGCACCCTTTTCAGCAGCTCTAGGCTTCAGATAAACAATTTCTGTGTCCCCTTACTACTGAGACTATAGCTGTCTTTTGGATTTGGGATGTTGTTAACCCTGATCGTGCTGATTAAACCTGTGATACCTTCTTCCTCTTTTTTTTTTTTTTAACAACTGGTAGTAACTAAACAGTTTAATAGCGTATTTCTTCACTGAAGAGAGGTAAAAGAGAGGAGACTTACAACAGGCTTGTTTCCCTCCTTCAGTGTAATCCAGTCCTCTCCGTTGGAGCTGACATCTACACGGTATGTTTTCAGATAATATTCTTTCTTCGTTTCTTTTGAGATGGCTCCTTGGGTCCCAATTCCAGAAACAAAGCGGAGAAGGCCTAGATCTACCTGTGGCAAGGAAGGAATTGGGACATGAGGACAACCCATTCAGAGCATAACAGTAATGCAGAAGTGACACCCCCCCCGCCCATGTTTTACAGACATAATAAGGATTTTATATAAAAGAAATTGCAGCATATTGTTGATAATAACATAGCCATCATCTCCTCTTTTGTAAACAGTGTCATCACAGGAGATGGGAACATTTGCCTAATTAGCCAGGAGGGCTATTCACATGTCAGAGAATTATGTTTCCTCTGTGGGGGAGGAACCAGAGACCCCACTGGTGCAAGTAGGAACCACCAGACTGCAGAGAAGTTACTGGAGAAGTTCCTAAAGGAACAGTCTGGTAAACAATCTTACTTAATACTTTCATTAACTACCCTGCATAGATGCTAATGAAATTCACTGAGGACACAGAGCTGCAAGGCATTGTCAATACAGCGGAGAGTTGTGCAGTGAGAACTGAATGACCCTGAGAACTGGGGTATTAAAAATGGGATGAAATTTAATAGTACAATATCAAAGTCGTGCACTTAGGGAATGATAACAAGAATTCTACTAAAGCCCAGGAGCTCATCACTTGCGAGGAGAAAAGAATCCCATGGTGTATTAGTTAGTCACAAGATAATTAAGAATCACCATGTGATTTTGTTGGGAAAAAGGCAAATGAGCTGCTTGTACCGTATGATGTATTTGAAGAAAACAGAAAGAAGCATTAAAACAAGTGCAATAATTCTGTTCCAACTGTCAAATGCAGTGAACTTTAATAATCAGAAAATAAAGACATTATTGAACTTGCTGGGGAAGTGAACGCCATGGTGTGCACGTGAATGTGTGTTAGAGGCGTTCTGTCTTCTTCACTCATTCTCTGTCTTCCTCCTCTTCCCATGAAGGTACATTGCAACCAAATGGACAAGTGATTTAGGTCAACCTTCCTCTCCCCCAGTTATTTATTTGTCATCCAGTTCTGTTTCCTGATCTGGGTCATCATGTGGCATCACAGAAGTTGTACTGGCGTAGTTGGGAGGATGATGTGGGGTGCAGGCGTGCGGCCACCCAAGTCAGCTCTGCTGGCAAAAGAAGCCTGTGTCCTTGCCCACAAGTCCAGCTGCCAAATGGTTGAAACTGGGCACAAAACTCCCTCACAGCCAGGTTGATGACCACAGCTTTGAAACACCTGCCATTTCCTTACAGCCTTTCTTTAGCCATAATGACAAACCAATTAAAATCAAATCCATCACCCTCTTTCTCTGCAGCTAGAACCTCCTCTCTGTTTCATAAAGCAAACCATTTAATTTCAATACAAAATGACACTATTCACAAAATATTAATCAGAGAAATTTATTCCTCTAAACTTCAATTGTCCAGACTTTAGTAGGATAATAATAGGGTGAATTAACCCTCCTCAAGTGAATGTCCCATGAATGTCTCAGGCTTTTTCATTATGTCCAAAGCACGCAGGATGCAGTACATACGTCCCCTATGTCCCACAGGCATCCTTTTTCCTGTATGTATGTCATATATCCAAAGGCGCTGGAGCAGATAAATCAACATGCTCTGCATTCTCTCTCAAAAGGCCGAAGGAAGTGCCATTGAGGACAGACTGGCTGCTCTCTCAATGCCCGTGTCATCTGCAAGGCATTCTGAAGCCTTCCAACACAAGAATAGCAGCCTTGTGTACGACAGATAGAACTAGCTTTCAAGGCAAAGCCCCTGCCCCTGCCCGAGTTTTTAAGGCTGGTAAAGTCCGCATGTAACATTTTAGCCCTTGTCTTTCGGGGTGAGATACCGCAACATGTTGTTTTGTCGTGATAAAAAAATTCAGCCTTAAAAAAAAAAAATAAAAAAAATCCCAGCACCACCTTACAAAAACAATCAAGTGATTTAAAGTAACTGGAGAGTCTCAGATGTTAGATTGTTGCAATCTGAAAGTTAATGGGGGAATCTGGGCATCATTGCGCTGAGCAATCTCAGCTTAACTTCAAATGCTCTCCAAACTGTACTCCGCTGATTGTAAAGTGCGCTGCGCTGAGTTATGTCCAATACCACATTCACTTCCAGGCTGAAGTGCACTTGAAAATCTGGAAGTCTGAGGGAGTGCAGAGCTAAGTTATTTAAATGATCTGCTTCTCTTACAATTTGAAACAGCTCTTCAGTTTTGAAATGATTAGGGTCCCAAGCCTGTACCGTTCCAACTGATTTGAAATTATTCTAGTAGGGGCTTTTTAATATACAGTAAGTACTTCATTGTGAATGAAGTCAAGCAATGGCCTATTACAAGAGTTCTAGGTATTTGAAGCCAAGTTAAAATTTAACATTGGGTTTAGGGGAAGGTTTGATTAGTTGATGCCTGTGCTAACAATTACAGCTTCCAGTCACTGACCCTTCAGGTCACTCAGGCTTGTCCTATCAAAGAACTTCAGGTGCCCAAATTTTGCTCAGTCCCAAATATACAATTCAATATACACCCTTACCTCTTGGGGGACTGAATATCCTTACAGCATCTATCCCACCACCCAGAACTAAGTCCTAAACACACAGAGGATTTAGACATCTACCTTCATGCCTAAAGCCTGGCAGAATTCAAAAGGTAGGCAGAAATTCTCCTGCCAGAAGTTAACAGCTCACTGGGAGAGAGACTCTGAGAAGACCTCTAATTGATTGCCTTTAGGTAGGGAAGACGCAACCTCATTAGCACTCCTGGCTCCGGTAACTGTGTAATACAGTACGGGAGGAGGAGGGCACCTCTTGTCATTAGGGAGAACATCTCTTCACATAGACGTGCTTTCTCCGGATCAGCAAATCTTTACATGCTTCTTGAAAACTGGAACTATGTCAACAGCAGTCCTCTCCTCGAGTGCCTGGAGGCTGATGGCTTGAGTGTTCAGCTGTGTGCCACAGCTTTAAAACCTTTGCAAAAGCAAGCTATTACCCCAGACCTGCCACATGCCAGGGGACGTTTGCTCAGAAGCTGATAGAGGAAAAAAGAATAACCTTTCTCCATCAGTGTTTTGTGAGAAAGGAGCAGTGCAAACAAGAAAGGTGGGGTTAAGCAGCAGAGAAGCAGAAGGGCTGGAGTTTTAAGTACTAAGTCTGGCTCAGTGCAGTGGTCCAGGGGAGATGTAGAGCTTAAGGCATTTTCCTCCCTTTGACAGTTCTCTGCAGCGGCCTCCCGAGGAACTGCTTCTCTCCAGGTGCATACAAACAGAATTGCAACACTGAGCACCCCTCTGCGGTGCCTAAGTATGTTTGTAAATTAAGCTCTAAATGTACCAATCTTCTCTAAGTAAGGTGATAGAAATAAATTATGTAGAAGACTACCTTGGAAACTGCATGACACATCTGAAGGGGCTGTTAAGCTCACCTTCATTAATCACTTTGTGAGGCATTTTGTTTTCTTTTAGATGTCTTTTGAAACTCTGCTTTCTGTAAAATGCAAAATGGTGCACAAAATACACATTTTAATGTCACAGGGACTGCTCAGAGTTGAAGTTCAACCGTATCAACTGCTATTAACAACTGGAACCTGAAGGTACCAAAAAGTAGCTGTAGTAAGACACAGCTCTTCTGTACCGTGTTATCCAGAGGAATCATTGTGGAGGGCAGTGGCTCCAGTAGAGCTGTGCCACCAAACAGATAGGAGTTCTTATGCTTTTTGGAGGCTTGTGCTTATAGAGTCCAACTGTCTGTAATTTCCAGTCAGCTTACTATGTCCTCTCCACAGAGGTCTCCAAGCGGTAACATGGCCAGAGGTAACCCATTTTTCTCGGATCCGGTCTCCTCCAGCTGAGGTAGTAACACAAATCTTTAAAAACTAGCTATTTGTTTTGGGCTTCTTGTCCTTTTTTTGTTTCAAGAACTTGTGTTTCACGTTAAACTGAACTGTGGAGAGAGGTGGTGATGAAATACAGTACTTTTGAAGATGAACACCAAATGCATTTCCCTGCAATTATTTGACATTTAACTTTCTGCACATATGATAAACAAACAGCTGGTATTTATTTTAGAGGATGCAAGCGGTTTTCCAAGTTATCGCATGCTCTGTGGCTGTGTTCTGAGATAGGCAGCTGTCTCCAAACCTGAAATCATGACATTTCATTTCCACAACCAGAATTTTAGCTTTGACTAACTGCAGTATGTTGCTTGTTCTTTTTTTTTTTTTTTTTTTTTTTAAATTTTGCTCACTTTCATTCAGATTAAAAAGCATATCTCTTCTGGAAAATTATGCCTTAGGGCCTCATCCAACAAACACAGCCTTTGATAATTGCCTATGCTGCAATGTGACTGCCTTTATTGGTAAGTACAAGACGGGGAGTAGACTTGCCTACGGGAATGGGCCCCTAACTTACAAGAAATGAGGAACATCTCCAGTGTGTATTTTTTTCCAGGAGAGAAATGTTCATGTAAAAAAAGCACCAGTTGTTCCTAATTCTAAAATCAATTTCTTTCCTGTGAAAGCAGATTGCAAGATGCTAGCTGCTTCTACATATGAATTACTTCCTCTCTATTTATTCTGCAATGTCTTCTAGCATCCGGGAAAAATATTTTTATTGCGGTCTTACTGTCTCCAAAAAATGTGGGTGGGTGACACATTTTAAAGGCATAGATATGCAAGGGGTGGAATACGTATTTTATTAGAGACCAGTTAAGGAGAAGGAAAAAGAGTAACATTTAGCTCTGCACAATATATCATGCAGCAAATCTTAGCAAACTGCTGGGTAAAGAACAACACACAACATGCACAACTTGAATATTGCTGCTTCCCGTCGCCGTACATAACCATGTCATAGTATGGAAGACCTTATTTTCAGAATGAAAATCTGCCTTGCTAAATAAAATACAGTCATTGAGGGAGCTGTAGCAAGGGAGCAGTTTTACCAGCTTTTAACACTCCTACTGTAGGTCTGTTCAACAGCCTGAGAAAATAAAGGACAAAGTGCTGGAGTTTGATTAACAACAGGAAGCTTTTTGTTGTGGGCATCTCTTGTGGCTTGAAAAGCTGTATA